GGGAGGGATAAATTAGTTTAATGTGAGTTGCATCAGAGATGGTGTGATCAAGGAGAGAAAGCATGAATTTGTGAAGAATAATGTAACTACATATGACTAGTCTAGTTGAATTTTTGCAGAGACCAGTCATATGGTGAATAGAAGAGTCTACAAATGTTGTCTTTTTGAAGGTCCGGAAAACATTTTATAAGTTTCTGCAGAAGTAATTAAAATCAAAAATGAAAGTGCTTATGATTGAATACAAGTTGTATTCACAACAAATTAGTAACTGATTCATACAGTGACTGTAAAATAATCCACTTAAGCAAAAAAGACAACTTACAATATTTTCTAAACGAGGTGAGGAGCAAAATTTATGTATTAACGTGCACAACTCAGAAAAAGCTAATGCATGGTTATAAAAATTATTCAAAAAGACTAATGAAATGCTAGCATTTATTTCATGGTATTTCAAGGAGAAAAGCGAGGAAGCAATGCTTGGAGAGCAGATGCCAACTGCAGTATTACTTTCAGTTTTGAGCAGCAAACCTCAGGAAAGACTTATTGGCCTTGGAAAGAATGCTGCACAGATTTAACAGAGTTAAACACAGCTAAGTTGTAACAGCACATTTAATGAATACGGCTGTTAGTCCCTTGAGTTTAAAACATTGATTTATTTAGTGACTTAGACTCCCTACAGTGTGAAAACAGGCCCTTCGGCCCAACAAGTCCACACCGACTCACAGCATCCCACCCAGACCCATCCCCCTATAATCCACCTAATCTACACATCCCTGAACACTATGGGCAATTTAGCATGGCCAATCCACCTAGCCTGCACATCTTTGGACTGTGGGAGGAAACTGGAGCACCCAGAGGAAACCCACGCAGACACGGGGAGAATGTGCAAACTCCACACAGACAGTCACCCAAAGGTGAAATCGAACCCAGGCCCCTGGTGCTGAGAGGCAGCAGTGCTAACCACTGAGTCACCGTGCCGCCCATCGTATATACGCCTTCAAAACAGCAACTGAATTCAATTGGATAAATACTGAGAAACGATTTCTGATGGTGGAGTAACCTGAAACAGAGGCATAATCTTAAAATTTCAGCTATGCAGTTCTGGACTTGCTCGCCGAGCTGTTAAGTTTGTTTGCAGATGTTTGGTCACCATACTAGGTAACATCCATCAGTGCACCTCTGGTGAAGTGTTGATATTCCGTGCCACTTGCTACTCCTGTGCCTTAGTTTGCTGGGGGTGGATGGCATCATTTCCAGATTTGTTTCTTAGTGGTTGGTATTTGGTCTTCATGTTTGTGAATGGAGTTCCAGTCTGAGTTCCAGGCCTCCAGGAATTCTCGTGCGTGTCTTTGCACAAATTCCTCATCATCAAGAAGACCAGAAGAGATGAGGACGAGATCCTGGTCTCCGACGTGACTGCACTATTCACTCCATAAACATTCCCCTAGCTAAGGAAACACTAGCCTCGCTACTAGATCGACCAGGGATACAAACACCCGACAACACCAACACCATCAGCATAGACGGTACCCTCAAACTACAGGACCCATGCCTCACAACCACATCACCTTCAACAACAAGGTACACAGTCAAATCAACAGGACATCCATGGGAGCACCGATATCAGGATTAATAACGGAAGCCGTAATGCAAAGACTGGAAGGGAGAGCCCTTCCTACCATCTAACCAAAACTGCTATGCGGATGACACTTTTGTTATTGTCAAATGCTCTAAACTGGAGGAAACCCATCTACTCATAAATAACATCCTCAACATGCAGAACAAACATCGTTTACAAAATACCATGCAATGACTGTCACAAACACTACCTCAGACAGACAGGAAGGAAACTAACCATCAGAATACATGAACATTAGCTAGCAGCAAAACTGCACGACGAACTCTCCCTAACATCTGTACATTCAGACAATGAAGGCTATCAATTTAATTGGGACAAATTAACCGTAGTAGCCCAAGCCAAACATAGACATGCACAGGAATTCCTAGAGGCATGGTTCTCCACCCATACTTCAATCAACAAACATATAGAATTGGACCCCGTATATAAACCCACACAGATCAAAATCGTAAATGACAGTACTCAACATAATGGACTGGACAGTATAAATTCCAAGCAGAGTAGAATAACATTGCTTCATCAGAGGCTCCACTGATGATGTCACCTAGCATGGTGACGAAACATCTGAACAAAAACAAGCCAGATCGCCGAGCAAATCAACAACCTCAACCACAACATGAGCTACAGATCTTTGCCAAAACTTTAAATAATATCTAGGAGTTTAATCTTCAATGAGTCAAGTGGAATAGAATAAAACCCCTACAGTGTGGAGGCAGGCTTTCTCGGCCGATCAAGTTCACACTGATCCTTCGAATAGCACATCAGGGCAGGGCTTATACAATTAATGGTAAGGTCCTGGGGAATGTTGCTGAACAAAGAGACCCTTGAGTGCAGCTTTATAGTCCCTTGAAAGTGAAGTTGCAGATTGACAGGGTAGTGAAGCTGGTGTTTGGTACGCTTGTCACCAGAGTTGGAAGGTTCAAGTTATCGGGAGAGGCTGAATAGGGTGAAGCTATTTTCCTTGGAGAATCGGAGCTGAGGGGTGACGTTATAGAAGTTTATAAAATCGTGAAGGGCATAGATAGGGCGAATAGCCAAGGTCTGTCCCCAGGGGAGGAAAGTCCAATGGGATATTGATCAGATGGGCCGAGGAGTGGCAGATGGAGTTGAATTCAGATAAATGTGAGGTGCTGCATTTTGGAAAGAAAAATCAGAGCAGGATGTATACACTTAATGGTACGGTCCTGGGGAGTGTTGCTGAACAAAGTGACCTTGGAGTGCAGGTTCATAGTTCCTTGAAAGTGATGTCCCAGGTAGAATAGTGAAGAAGGCATTTGGTATGCTTGCCTTTATTGGTCAGTGCATTGAGCATAGGAGTTGGGAGGTCATGTTGCAGCTGTATGGGACATTGGTTAGGTCACTTTTGGAATACTGCATAAATTCTGTTCTCCCTGGTAGAGATTTGACAAGGATATTGCAAGGTTGGAGGATTTGAGCTATAGGGGAGAGGCTAAAATGCTGGGGCTATTTTCCCTGGAGTGTCAGAGGCTGAGGGGTGACCTTGTACAGGTTTATAAAATCATGAGGGGCACGGATAGGGTAAATAGCCAAGATCTTTGCCCTGGGGTGGGGGAGTCCAAAACTAGAGGGCATAGGTTTAAGATGAGAGGGGAAAGATTTGAAAGGGGCCAAAGGGGCAATTTTTTCACACCTAGTGGGTGGTGCATGTGTGGAATAAGCTACCAGAGGAAATGGAGGAGGCTGGTACAATTACAAAACTTACAAATCATCTAGATGGGTATGTGAATAGGAAGGGTTCAGAGGAATATGGGCCAAATGCTGGCAAATGGGGCTAGATTTATTTAGGATCAGCATGGTCAGCATGGACCAGTTGGACCAAAGGGCCTGTTTCCATGCTGTACAGCTCAATGACACCATGGCTCTAAGTATTTTATAATAAGAGCAGGTCAATAATTGTTCTGGTACAATACTGCCATTAGTACAAGTACCACATCTGTACCACTTTGTATGTAGTGTATCTAATAACAATGATTTTACTTAGATCAGATTGTGCAATCAGCCCATGCATTTTTTAATTGTTAGGTTATAAAGCCACATAAGTGAGTAACAAATGTGACATTTTGAGCAGCAGACAACTGCAAATGTGTCTATTACACTACAACGCAAAGTAGCTATGGATATTCAGTAACACCACCTAAGAAACACACCCACTTACATTTATATAGCATATCAATGTAGTTTTAAAAAGTCCAAAGCACATTAACAAGAGCTACATTAATAAAAACATATTTAACAAGCGAAAGGAAAAATTAGGAGATGTCACCTAGACAGTGATCAAAGAGGTGGATTTTCATCAGTGCCTTAAAAGATGAAAGAGAGGTAGAGAACATGGTCAAAGGTAGAATGATAAATATCAGGATGTGCAGGAGGTTAGTATTGAAAGTTTAGACAGAAAGCCTGTAGAGCTTGGGAAATCACACTGATAAGGAGGGAAGAAATCAAGGAAAGTACTGAATACAAGGACAAGGATTTTAAAATGTAAACATTATTGGACAGGGAGCTACTGAGTGTCAGCAAACCGGAGTAATAGGTAAACGAGACTTATATACAAGATTATATACAATGAAGAAAAGTAAGCTGGTCAAGAGAGTCTTTGTATAGTTAAATCTGGAGGTAGCAAAGGTTTGGAGAAAATGTAAATGATGAATAACATAGGTAACAATTCAAGTGACTACTCGGTTGGAACCCTTGGATGATGATGTGTCCTATTAAAGGATTTCAGCTGTGTTTATGAACTTAAGTGTTAGTTAACTTATAGCATACCAACATCAAGTGTTATATTCTTTGACATTTTTACTATTGTATAAGTGTAAGCAAATTATAAAATGGCAATTTTAATGCATCTGCAATATACCACATTATTTAAAAAAACTAATTTTAAAAGTGTACTTGTAACCATGTGCATCCTGTGGACATTCATCAAACCAGTAAAAGACAAATTGTAATGAGCAAACAAAATCAATGTTGGCTTTCCTTTAAAAAAAATGAAATGCCCATGTTGATGTTATACGTTGACGATATTGTTCTGGTACAATACTGCCATTAGTACAAGTACCACATCTGTACCACTTTGCACTGAAAACTACACACTTCAAGAATGGCAGCATAAGCACTTCAACTTGACACAATTGCAGTAACATTTGCTATAACAGAATCAAACCATAAAGGCTGGCTACTTACTATTCATATTCCTCATTAACTTTATCACATCTGGCATCATTTTGCTCCTCCCAGTCCTTTCCATGTTTACAAGTAGTTAACAAAATAATATCGTCTCCATTATGTACATGATACAAGGCATTTCTGGTCTCTGACCCAATGCCAGTTAAATATCTTTTACCTTTAAAAACCAGCAAGTATTTTCTTGCAGATAGCACATTGCTGTACATAAGCCAGCCCTTCTCACCTCCTTTCTGTACATGCTGTTTGGAAAACAAGGGGATAGACACATCAAAATCAGATCAGAAGGTAATCACACCGATACTGGCTTTAGCTAACATAGCTTGCCCAATATCAAAACCCAAATCTTCCGTGTAATCAGGCCAGGTTCCTGAATACAGATTGAACACTAGGTGATTTCTCCCATTGTTCCACAGTGGGAGGTTTTGAATTTTAGCTTTTATATTATGAACATACTGAAATGAAAGTTGATCTCTATCCAAGGCATCAATGCTGAGGACAAACAAATATACTTGCCTTGGATCTGAAGTATAATATCTTGAATCCTCAATAGTAGGAAGGATTTTCTGATAACTTTCAGAAATTTTCTCCCCCTTTAGAAGCGGATAGATGTACACTTTGAATCCACTCCTTTGGCGAAGAGAAGAATCAAAACAAGTCTCCATTTCACATTTTTGACTCTTGCAAACATATGCCTCAATCTCTCTCCTCTCCTTCAGAGAAATTCCAGGGTTGATGCCAAGATGGGTCCACTCCTCTTCATCATTTGGCCCATCTTCCAACCTTAAATAGCTGCTCAAGAGATTAATCCACACAGACCAGCGGCATCTGACTGGGGACAAACCTTGATTTCTTAGATTGTGGTGAAGATGATCAGATGACAACGATGAAGATGAAGGTAAATTTGGAGGCAACTGCCAGATCCATGCTCCTCCCAGGTAGAAAAGCAGCAAAAGACAGGCACCAAATGACATTAGAAGATACCTTATCTTGGCCTGCATGTGGGCAAACAGAGAGCCACTAGAAACGCATAAGAAATGATGGGTGTTTGGGGGTGGGGTGTGGGGATGAGACAGACATAATTTCCACTTAGAATTTGATAACCCCACAAAATATCATAGACAAAAAGAATAATTGATCAACTCTCAATTAAAGACAGTTAAGTATCAATGGCAAAGATTTCTAGAAACCCAATTGTAAAATGTCTACTTTTGGGGGTTGATGGGATGAGAGTGTGTGAAGCCCTATAGTTTGTATTGACCATGCGAGTTGGGTGGAAAAGAGAGGTATTTGGAGCTGGGGTCAGGGAGGATGTTCGTGGCTCAGACTCCTCTAGCCCATACTGAAGCAGAAGCACCCTCTTACCACCACATTAATATGGTTACCAAGGGCTGCTCACTCCATCCTCCACTCTCATACAATCCAGTAAAAAAAGGCTCAGAAGCCTGACACTTTTACAGCCAGACATTCTGCAATCCTTAATGACAGGCAACAGGAACAGCAGCCATAAAGACAACTGTGGGCAATGTGAAACATTGTCATCTTAACTTTAGAAATATAAACAGAGCCTCTTGTACTTTAAATTGGCTGTGTGGTATATCTAGAGCAGTTTCCTCTCAGAAAGGGCAAATCAGCACAAATACTGATATTTAGGCAAAGATACAAAAACAAATATAAACAATTTATAATGCAAGCTACCATAAAAAAAATTGGGAATGCAGTCCCAGTTTCTACCAAATGATGCTCATTGACCAGTAATAGTATTTTTCTGTTAAGTGATTGTATGTACAATTATTATGTACCTTGATCTTGTCTGGGAGTTAGAGTGCAGGAGCCTGTCATCGGAAACTTCTTTTCCCATTCTTTTACTCTGAGATGACGATAGCCATCTTGCATGCGTTTGAATGTGTTTCATAATTATTTATGCTGCTGTGATCCTTCCCGTTGGACTGTCATCTGGAATGATCAGTGTGCTTGATTTTATTTACTCTTAACTATTTAAATCTATCGTCTGTTCGGCGGAGAAGCCAAGGGCACCATCTGCACCGCAAACATATTTTCTTTTACGACCCCGACCTAGCTGCAGACTTGCCGTGGGAGAAAATGAAAACGAAGTTCCACGGTCCACCGTCAGTCTTCGGAGTGGGGACAGGGGAGTGGCGGGGGAGAAAAAGAGAGTTTTGCGACCGGAAGAAATAAAATCATTGTTATTCTTCTTTTATGGAATCAAAGAAACTCCTTCAACTTTCGAAAACATAATCTGTGTCAAACAACTCACTTCACATCGTGTGCGAGTAAAATCACCCAAATAAACGCGCACACGATGTGAAAGAACAGAGAAATCCATCGACAACAATCCCCTCAATGAGTTGGTCTCCCAGTGACTCGGATGCATTCAAGTGCGGAAGCCGACGTTAGCTTCTTCCCTTCTCCGTTAATTTCTTCCTATCAGTCTCTCTCCTTCACTGAAGCTGCAGAAAGAAAGCAGATCCTCAAAAATAGTTGGGGGCACACTGACTCCGACAAGCTGCGGCTCGGCGGTAAGAGCAGAATTTTCTCGTTCTTTTCTGCTGCTGATTTGGACACTAACATCACGATTTCTATGCCAAAGCCCTGCACCGTACCCTCCTGGCCCTCCATCACTGCACATAGCCGCCCTGTCATCCATGCGCTGATTGAACACGAGAGCTGCTCTCCCTTCCAACCCTTTCACCCCTGACTCGATTCTTCCATTGGCGGCAAATGTCACACCTCCTGGGACATTCCCTACGCTGATTGAGTGATTGACACGTCAATCGTCACCAGCCGCTAGAGCGGAAACGCGTAAGTTTCCAGACGCGCAGTCGCGACGAGTATCTCTGAGCCTCCGAGCATCGTGACGTCAGCATTCGATCACCCTTTGAGTAGTTTAAAGGGAGAGGTGTACTTTGTCAGGAATGAAGCGTTATTGGTGCTGCTCTGTACACAATATTGTAGGTGTTGTAAATCTGTAATGCAATCAATTGCAGTTGCTGGAGATCTGAGACAAAAACAGAAATTGCTGGCAGAACTGATTAACCCAGTTCTGATGAGTCATCCGACTCGAAATATTGACTCCGCTTTCTCCCCACAGTTGCTGTCAGACCTGATGAGTTTCGCCAGCAGTTTCCGAAAACGCTGGAACTACTCGGTAGGTCTGGCAGCAAATGTGGCGAGAAAGAGTTAACAACAGTGATGAAGCAGGTCTGGCAGCATCTGTGGAGAGAACACAATGTGGAGCTGGAGGAACACAGCAGGCCAGGCAGCATCAGAGGAGCAGGAAAGCTGACGTTTCGGGTCGGGACCCTTCTTCAGTTT